CCATTATTTCAAATCGGGGCATGCAGTTCACATCATAGTTTTGGAGGGCAATGCAACGAGAGTTAGGCACACGGGTTATTTGAGTATAGCATTCCACCCTCGAACGGACGGACAGTCGGAGTGCACCATTCAGATATTGGAGGACATGCTACGTGTTTACGTCGTGGATTTCAGGTGTTCTTGGGATCAGTTTCTACCGCTTGCAGAGTTTGCCTACAACAATAGCTACCAAATTATTCAGACGGCTCTGTTTGAGGCCTTGTATGGGAGGCAGTGTCGGTCCCTGGGTTGTTGGTTTGACCCGGGTGGGGCTAGGCTATTGGGTAGTGACTTGATTCGGGATGATTTGGAAAAAGTTAAGTTGATTCAGGATTTGCTTCGCACAGCACAGTCTAGACAGAAGAGTTACCTCAATCAGAAGGTTCGTGATGTTGCTTACATGGTGGGGGAGAAGGTATTGCTCAGATTTTTGCCCACGAAGGGTGTTATGAGGTTTGGGAAGAAGGGCAAGTTGAGCCCTCAGTATATTAGCCCTTTTAAGGTACATGAGAGGATTGGAGATGTGGATTACAAGCTTGCATTTTCGCCTAGTCTATCGAGATTTGGCTTCACCATGGTCTAGTTAGATGGGGATTTGACTTATGATGTGGAGCAGGTGGCCATTTGGATCGGTAGGTTCAGAAGTTGAGGCCAAAGAATATAGCCTCAGTGAAGGTAAAGTGGAGAGGTCAACCACTCAAGGAGGCTAGTTGGGAGACCAAGCGGGAGATACGGAGCAGCTATCCACACCTATTTGAGACCCCAAGTATAATTCTAGACCCGTTCGAGGATGAATGTTTGTTTAAGAGGGGAGAATGTAACGACCCGGCCGGTCGTTTTGAGTATTACAGTCATGTTCCCCCATTTATTGCCAATTCTATGTTCGTTGTTGTTTGTGACTTGTCGGGATGGTTGGTTTGGTTCCGGGGATGTTTCAGAATGAATTGGGACACTTAGTCCTAAGGTTAGAAGCTTAAGTTGATAGAGTTGACCGGATGCTGACTCATGTGTAAATGACTCCGGAATAGCGTTTTGATAGTTCTAATAGCTCCGTATGGTAATTTTGGATTTAGGAGTATGTCCAGATTTTGATTCGGTGGTCTGTAGGTCATTTTGGCTTGAATTGGCGAAAGTTGGAAAGTGAAGGTTTGGAAAGTTGAGAAGTTTGATGAGAGTTGACTTTGTTGTTACTGAGCTCAGATTTTGGTTCCGGAAATTGGAATAGGTCCGTTGTGTCATTTATGACTTGTGTGCAAAATTCATGGTCAATTATAGTTGGTTTGGTATGTTGCGGCATTAGTTTTAGAAGATACAAGTTCATAAGTTCATTAAGCTTGAATCGATATGCGATTCGTTATTTTAGTGTTGTTCAATGTGATTTGAGGCTGCGAGCGAGTTCGTATCATGTTTTAGAACTTGTTAGTATTTTCGGACGGGGTCCCGGGTGGCCCCGAGTGTGTTATAGATTGAGTTCGAACCAATTGTTCTTGAGATGGGACTGCTGATTTTTGTGTTCTGGTTTCCTTCATCGCGATCGCGAGGGAAGGTCCGCGATCGCACTGCTGGGATTTTACTCTTCGTGTTCGCGAAGTGAATGATGTGATTGTGAAGGTTGAGGTGTTTGTGCATCGCAAACACATGGATGTGACCGCGTTTGTGTATAAGGAAGGAGAGCTGGTGCTGGGGCTCGCATTGTTCCTCGCATCCGCGTGGAATTGTCTGATATTGTGTAGCCTTGGGAGGTCCTGCCATCGCGTTCGCGGTTGTAGTCACATGATCGCGTAGGATGTTTTGTGAGCGGGGAGGAATTGTTCTCTGCCATCACGAGTGTTTGTCCACGATCGTGAAAGAGGATAACTGGCAGAAGAGTTAAATTTCAAAACAAGGGTTTTATTTCATTCTTCATCCTTTGGACTTAGAGAGCTCGGTTTGTGGCGATTTTTAAGAGGTATTTTCAAGAATCTACTGGGATAAATTATTCTAACGTGAATTTGATTATTTTCCATGAACCCATCATTGTTTTTACCATTTAATTGATGTTTTGGTTTAGAAAAGTTGGGAAAATTTGTGAAAACTTCATAGACCGTACTTTAAGGATTTGAATGACGATTTCTGGTCAAAATTGAATAGTTTTAGTATGGTTGGACTCGTTATTGAATGGGTGTTCGGATTTTATAAATTTTGTCGAGTCCGAGACGTGGGCCCAGGGTTGACTTTTTGACTTTGGTTAAAGATCTTTGCTTTATCATTTGTAATCAATTTTATAGCTTTTATTGATAGTATTACGTTATTTTTGGCTAAATTCGAGCCTTTCGGAGATCAATACGAGTGGGAAGGGCTTGCTAGTGGAGTGATTTGATTGGCTTGAGGTAAGTATCTTATCTAAACTCGATTGTGGCACTAGTTGCCTGAATTGTTGTGATAGCTACGTGCTATTGGGTGCGTACATGCGTGGGGATGTACCCATGTACGGGCATTAGAATTATTTATTCATGTTCGAATTGTGCTCTGGGTCCTATAAGCCTAGAATTTGACTATTAAACCATAAGTTGTGATGCTTTGCACATTGGTGACATTGTTGTTAACTATTTGAACCATGTTTGAGGCTACATAGGGGCTTTATCCCTGAATGAACTGATAAATGTTATTCTTTGATGAAATTGCCGGTTTGAGTTATGATAGTTCACTTGCATATGCCTACATTTTGGCATGTCGTTTACACCAGTCCAAGAGCATGAGATTTGTAATTCACTCATTTCACACATATATTCTCATTTATTCGCTCAAGTATGATATGATTGGACCGGGTACCTGTGACTACGCCGGGCGGATTGTGTTATTGTGCCTATGACCATACCAGACGGATTGTATTTGTTGGCACGTGAGTTGTCCGTGCGAATCCAGTTATTGATGTTATTAGCACGAAAATTGTCCGTGTGGGTTCTATTATTAGCATGCCAGTCGTCTGCGCAGCATGTGGATACGTATCCATCCCTTAGGGTCACCCTCTCATGTTTCTCTCTTGATGGTGTACACACGGTTATTGACGAAATGATCAGTGGTTTGGTACGGACATGGAAAAGTTGAGGAAATCTGGCCAGTGCTTTGTTGGATTTTGCACTTCATGTTTACTTGCAATTTCCTTGATCATTTATCTGATTTAACTGTATATGACTTCTATATGCCAAGAAATTGTCTGAGCTGAGTACTTGAGAATTTGTACACATACACACTCGGTTGTTTTTGTACTAAACTTTATGATTTGATTTCAATATTGTTCTGTACCGGTTTAAAGGATGAAACTAAGCAGGTGATAGATAGCATCATTGATATGTGTTCTTCTCTTACCTTGCCGTGTTTATTTACGATACTTATTGAGTACATTGGGTCAGTTGTACTCATACTACACTCTGCACTTAATTGTGCAGATCCATGTGTGGGGACCAGTTTTAAGCAGTAGGCTTTTTTGTTGGACTATCTGCAAGAGGCGAGGTAGAGATGGATCCTTGGTCGCAGTTTGACTTGTCTTTTCTTTTCATACTGTTGTTACAGTTCAGATAGTGTATTTTTTGTTTAGTTTTAGACTTTATTCCGTTGTACAAACTCATGACTCCGTACTTACCAATTTTTGGGGATTTACTTTGGTATTAGCAGTTTTATTGTAGTGAGACCTCAGACTTATGTTGTTTCTATTAATTTTCCTTAATTTGTTGCCTTTTTTATCATGTTTCGGCTTGCCTAGCCGGTGTGTTAGGCGCAATCACGATGGGTAGGGAATTTCGATCGTGATATATTCTTCAAAGAAACAATTTCATATATGATAAATCGTCATTTCGACTTTGCCTAATAGTAGGACTTTGATTTAATTAGGATATTTCAGGCAATACTGGCATTAAGGTCCACATGTCACATTCACTTTTTCCTAATATTAGAACTTCGATTTTAACTAAGATAGTTCAACAAGGAGTTGTACTAGCACATAAAGATATTGTAATAATTTACTTATTCATCTATAAAGATTGTGACCTCTATACGCCAAGATATCACCTCTATGCGCCAAGATACTATCTGAGTTGAGTACTTTAGAAATTGTAAACATACACACTCAGTTGTTTTTATACTAAAATTTATGATTTGATTTCAATATTGTTCTGTACCGGTTTAAATGATGAAACTACACAGGTGATAGCTAGCATCATTAATAATGTGTTATTCCCTTACCTTGCCGTGTTTATTTACGATACTTATTTAGTACATTGGGTTAGTTGTACTCATACTAAACTCTGCACTTAATTGTGCAGATCCAGGTGTGGGGACCAGTTTTCAGCAGTAGGCTTGCTTGTTGGACTATCTGCTAGAGGCGAGGTAGAGATGCATCCTTGGTTGCAGTTTGACTTGTCTTTTCTTTTCATACTGTTGTTACAGTTCAGAAAGTATTGTTTAGTTTTAGACTTTATTCCGTTGTTCAAACTCATGACCGTACTTACTAGTTTCTGGGGATTTACTTTGGTATTGGCAAATTTATTGTATTAAGACCTCAGACTTATATTGTTTCTACAAATTTTCGTTATTTTGTTGCCTTCGTTATCATGTTTCGGCTTGCCTAGCCGGTGTGTTAGGCGCAATCATGATGGGTAAGGATTTTGGGTCGTGATATATTCTTCAAAGAGACGATTTCATATTTGATAAATTGTCATTTCGACTTTGCCTAATAGTAGGACTTTTATTTAATTAGGATATCTCAGGCAATGAATACTACTGGCATTAAGGTCCACATGTCACATTCACTTTTTCCTAATATTAGGACTTCGATTTTAACTAAGTTAGTTAAACAAGGAGTTGTACTAGCACATAAAGATATTGTAATTATTTTCATATTCATCTATAAAGATTGTGACCTCTTTACGCCAAGATATCACCTCTATACACCAAGGTATTGTCTAAGCTTAGTACTTGAGAAATCGTACACATACACACTCAGTTGTTTTTGTACTAAACTTTGAGATTTGATTTCAATATTGTTCTGTACCGGTTTAAATGATGAAACTACACAGGTGATAGCTAGCATCATTGATAATGTGTTCTTCTCTTACCTTGCCGTGTTTATTTACGATATTTATTTAGTACATTGGGTCAGTTGTACTCATACAACACTATGTGCTTAATTGTGCATATCCAAGTATGGGGACCAGTTTTCAGCATTAGGCTTGTTTGATGGACTATCTGCTAGAGGCAAGGTAGAGATGCATCCTTGGTCGTAGTTTGACTTGTCTTTTCTTTTCATACTGTTGTTACAGTTAAGACAGTGTATTTATTATTTAGTTTTAGACTTTATTCCGTTGTAGAAACTCATGACTCCATACTTACAAGTTTCTGGATATTTACTTTGGTATTAGCAGTTTTATTGTATTAAGACCTCAGATTTATGCTGTTTCTATAAATTTTCGTTATTTTGTTGCCTTCGTTATCATGTTTTGGCTTGCCTAGCCGATTTTTTGGTCGTGATATATTCTTCAAAGAAACGATTTCATATATGATAAATCGTCATTTCGACTTTTCCTAATAGTAGGACTTTGATTTAATTAGGATATTTCAGGCAATGAATAGTACTAGCATTAAGGTCCACATGTCACATTCCCTTTTTCCTAATATTAGGACTTCGATTTTAACTAAGATAGTTCAACAAGGAGTCATACTAGCACATAAAGATATTGTAATTATTTTATTATTCATCTATAAGGATTGTGACCTCTATACGCCAAGGTATCACCTCTATACGCCAAGGTATCACCTCTATACGCCAAGATATTGTCTGAGCTGAGTACTTGAGAAAACGTACACATACACACTCGTTTATTTTTGTACTAATCTTTATGATTTGATTTCAATATTGTTCTGTACCGGTTTAAATGATAAAACTACACAGGTCATAGCTAGCATCATTCATAATGTGTTCTTCTCTTAGCTTGCCGTGTTTATTTATGATACTTATTTAGTACATTGGGTTAGTTGTATTCATACTACACTCTGCACTTATTTGTGCAAATCCAGGTATGGGGACCAATTTTCAGCAGTAGGCTTGCTTGTTGGACTATCTGCTAGAGGCGAGGTACAGATGCATCTTTTGTCGTAGTTTGACTTGTCTTTTCTTTTCATACTGTTGTTACAGTTCAGACAGTGTATTTATTGTTTAGTTTTAAACTTATTCCGTTGTAGAAACTCAAGACTCCGTACTTACCAGTTTCCGAGGATTTACTTTGGTATTAGCAGTTTTATTATATTAAGACCTCAAACTTATGCTGTTTCTATAAATTTTCGTTATTTTGTTGCCTTCGTTATCAAGTTTCGGCTTGCCTAGACGGTGTGTTAGGCGCAATCATAATGGGTAAGGATTTTGGGTCATGATATATTCTTCAAAGTAATGATTTCATATATGATAAATCGTCATTTCGACTTTGCCTAATAGTAGGACTTTGATTTAATTAGGATATTTCAGGAATTGCATACTACTGGCATTAAGGCCCACATGTCACATTCACTTTTTCCTAATATTAGGACTTCCATTTTAACTAAGATAGTTCAACAAGGATACTAGCACATAAACATATTGTAATTATTTTTTTATTCATTTATAAGGATTGTGGCCTCTATACGCAAAGATATCACCTCTATACGCCAAGATATTATCTAAGCTGAGTACTTGAGAAATCGTACACATACACACTCGGTTGTTTTTGTACTAAACTTTATGATTTGATTTCAATATATTTCTGTACCGGTTAAAATGATGAAACTACACAGGTGATAGCTAGCATCATTGATAATGTGTTTTTGTCTTACCTTGCCGTGTTTATTTACGATACTTATTTAGTACATTGGATCAGTTGTACTCATACTACACTCTGTTCTTAATTGTGCATATCCAAGTGTGGGGACCAGTTTTCAGCAGTAGGCTTGCTTGATGGACTATCTGCTAGAAGCGAGGTAGAGATGCATCCTTGGTCGCATTTTGACTTGTCTTTTCTTTTCTTATTGTTGTTACAGTTCAGACAGTGTATTTATTGTTTAGTTTTAGACTTTATTCCGTTGTAGAAACTCATGACTCCATACTTACAAGCTTCTGGGTATTTACTTTGGTATTAGCAGTTTTATTGTATTAAGACCTCAGACTTATGCTGTTTCTATAAATTTTTGTTATTTTGTTGCCTTCGTTATCATGTTTCGGCTTACCTAGTCGGTGTGTTAGGCGCAATCATGATGGGTAGGGATTTTGGATCGTAATATATTCTTCAAAGAAACAATTTCCTATATGATAAATCGTCATTTCGACTTTGCCTAATAGTAGGACTTTAATTTAATTAGGTTATCCAGGCAATGAATACTATTGGCATTAAGGTCCACATGTCACATTCACTTTTTTCTAATATTAGGACTTCGATTTTAACTAAGATAGTTCAACAAGGAGTCGTACTAGCACATAAAGATATTGTAATTATTTTCTTATTCATCTATAAGGATTGTGACCAATGATCCATAATGGGTACACTGCTAAAGAGCCAAAAATATATCATTTTGGTTCATAATATGACTTTTATGTTGAACGACGAAATTATCCTTGTAATATTGATCGACTTTTATACCTTCTAACACTATAATATTCTTCAAAGAAACGATTTCATATATTTCAAGCAATGAATACTACTAGCATTAAGGTCCACATGTCACATTCACTTTTGCCTAATATTAGGAATTCAATTTTAACTAAGATAGTTCAACTAGGAGTCATACTAGCACATAAAGATATTGTTATTGTCTTCTTATTCATCTACATGGATTGTGATCAATGATCCATAACGGGCCCGCCACTAAAGAGCGAAAAAAAATATTATTTTGGTTCATAATAGGACTTTTATGTTGAACGAAGAACATATTCTTAATATGTTGATCGACTTTTATACCCTTTATTACTATAATATTCTTTAAAGAAACAATTTCATATATGGTAAATCGTCATATTGACTTTGCCTAATATTAGGAATTTGATTTAATTAGGATATTTCAGGCGATGAATATTATTGGAATTAAGGTCCACATATCACATTCACTTTTGCCTAATTTTAGGATTTCGATTTTAACTAAGATAGTTCATCAAGGAGTCCTACTGGCACATAAAGATATTATAATTTTCTTCTTATACATCTACAAGGATTGTCATCAATGATCCATAATGGGTCCGTTGCTAAAGAGCCGAAAATAAATTATTTTGGTTCTTAATAGGACTTTTATGTTGAACGACGAAAATATCCTTGAAATAATGATCGACTTTTATACCCTTCTTAACGTTGTAATATTCTTCAAAGAAACGATTTCATATACGATAAATCGTCATATCGCCTTTGCCTAATATTAGGACTTTGATTTAATAAGGATATATGAGGCAATGAATACTACTGGCATTAAGGTCCACATGTCACGTTCACTTTTGTCTTATATTAGGACTTCGATTTTAATTAAGATAGTTCATCAAGGAGTCCTACTGGCACATAAAGATGTTATAATTGTTTTCTTATACATCTACAAGGATTGTGATCAATGATCCATACTGGTCCGCGGCTAAAGAACCAAAAATATATTATTTTGGTTCATAATAGGACTTTTATACTGAACGACGAAAATATTCTTGAAATACTGATCGATTATGCCCTTCTAACGCTATAATATTCTTCAAAGAAACGATTTCATATATGATAAGTCGCCATATCGACTTTTCCTAGTATTAGGACTTTGATTTAATTAGGATATTTCAGGCAATGAATACTACCGGCATTAAGGTTCATATATCACATTCACTTTTGCCTAATATTAGGACTTCAATTTTAACTAAGAAAGCTCAACACGGAGTCCTCCTGGCACATTAAGATATAATAATTATCTTCTTATTCATCTACAAGGATTGTGTTCAATGATTCATAATGGGTCCATTGCTAAAGAGCCCGAATTAATATTATTTTTGTTCATAATAGGACTTTTCTATATAAAAAGAACAGAAGAACGTAAACAACAGTTTATCTTAGATATGTTCTTATTTAATGTTTAATTTGGATATTATTTTTGTCAAGAACCAATAGTATTTTATATGCTCTCTAAGTGCATTGATTGCATAGGAGTCTTGAACATCGATGACGATCAATGCTATCAAAGACATGATATGTTGAGCAAATTAATTTTGAAAACAGATTTACAGGTCTTCTTATCTTTTAAATTCTTATAACCAAGCGGAGAACTTGCTTTTGACCTTATTGATACATTGAATTGATGGGGGTCATCACTTTTGTCTTGATTTTGTGTGGGTTAATTTTATCTTTTCTTTACATGTTTAATGTGTGAAAGTTGTACAAACTTACCGAGGGATTCACGGAGAAAATTTGATTCCACATTATGGTCAGCTAAATGCAGAAAAATTAGGATACATTTATTTTTTCTATAATAGAAATACAAAGTTTTAGTAAGTTTGCTCCCGAATCCCAATAAATATGAATGTTTCCAAACAAGCAAGTAAAATTTAGTTGTACTTGAATCTAAATTTAGAGACATTGATCGATGTGCAAATTAACTTTGTATGTCCATATCGCATCGCGAACTAAAATAATTTACCAAAAGGGTAAAGAAACTGGTAGAACACTATTGAAGGAAGGTGTGGATACTTGATTTTCACGTCCGGAGGCGGAGCTAAAGTGTCGGCTACGGATTCGACCGAATCTAGTAACTTTTGTTCACATCATGTATTTGTCTTACAATTTTTCATTAAATTTGTACAAATTATTAATTTAGAACTCAATAACTTAAAAGGATTAAGATCCCAAACCCATAAGCTTCAAATCATGACTCCGCCTCTGGTTCACGTCTATATTATCTCAGACTATACTCGTATTTTTCCAATCCTTTTAGGAGAGAATGTAGGTATCACATTGTCATCTAATCCGGCAAGATAGTACAGAAAATGCTACAGCAGACTGATAACTCATTTTTATTTCAAAATTCGTTCAATTTTTTATGTGAAGCAACGAATGAGGAATGGAAGTTCATCTCTTTGATAATATTTCAAGATAAGAATCATTTACCAAGCAAGAGTTTTAGGTTGATCACAATCAAAGTGAAAGTATGGTTGCTTTGATTTAAAATGTTCTCACGCATATAGTGTCTTCTATAAATTTTTATGATATCGGTATATTTATTCTATGTCTATATGTATATATTCAACAATGTAAATTAAGTTATAATCTTCCTTCTTTTATTAATATTAAGTAGAAATTTCTTTGTAGCAATTGCCGGAGCCAAGATTTTATACAAGGAGATTCCAAAAGGCACTAGAATGTCAAACTTTTTCTATGATGTAAAACATTTTTTGAACATATACATCATAATACTGGAATCTTTTCTTACATTCACTTTTAGGTGCGTTTATTGTTATACAGTTTGAATATCTACTCCAATCTAACAATACTTTTTTCTTTTATGAATTCTAAAAAGTTATGTGCTAGACAAGTACATAGAGACTAGTATATATTAAAAGCACCAAAGATCTTAGCGAATTATCTTTCATCCTTTTTACCCTTCTAAATAGAGTTTACACTGGACAAAATAGTCATTTGATTAATTCTCTATAATTTAGGAATAGTAATTTACTAATTTTCTACTATTTAGGAATAGTTATTTAATTATTTTCCTAATATTAATAATATTGATTTTTTTAATTTCTTTCGGTTATATAATTTCACACACACAATAGGGTTGTCTAAGGAGAGGGTACTGGGTTCTTAAGAGTTAGGGGTACGGGGAGGGTACCGGTAAGAGGGGGAGGAGGGGCTCCTTAAGGGCACTTTCATTAAGGGGATTTAAGGGTACGTGGTAAGGGTACTTTTACTAGTACCCTGACAGTGCCCCTGCCGGTTCTGGGGGTACTTAAGGATGCGGTACGAGTACTTAGGAGTATTTTAAATTAAAATTTTAAAAAAAATTTAAATACAGACAAACTTTAATGGATGAAAAAAAACTCAAGGCTATGAAGTGTAACGACTCGACTGGTCGTTTTGAGTATTTTAGCCACGTTCCCCTATTTATTTTCTCCTCTACATTCAATTTTGGTTATGTGGCTAGCCAGGGTGGTTGGATTGGTTTCGGGTGAGTTTCGGAGCTTACATTGAAAAAGTTGACCGGAGTTTGACTTTTGTGTAGACGACTCCAGAATGTAGTTTTGATTGTTCTGATGGCTTCGTCTAGTTAGTTTGGACTTAGGCATATGTCCGGATATTGATTTGGAGGTCTGAAGGTTGGTTTGAGGCTTTTTGGCGAAAGTTGGAAAGTTAAAGGTTTGGAAGGTTGGGTTTGATCGAGGGTTGACTTTATTGATATCGGACTCTGATTGTGATACTGGGATTTGGTTGCCACGACCCAAAATCTAACCCAATGTAATGGCACCTAACCCAACCCGCTAGGTAAGTCAAATAACAATAATCCAATTCAAATGAGATTGACTGAGAAAGACAAATAATAATATAACTAAGCTTTTCTACAACTCCCTAAAGACTGGTAATACAAATCATGAGCCACTAAGACTTAGATTTACAAAACTGAAATGAAATAAATATAACATATGTTTGAAATGTATATGAACGGAATTCGAATCTAAAGCAACCAAGGACAAGTGCTAGCTATAACTGAACGCATGTACATCTTCTATGCTAGCCCTCGCCATACACATCATCATCATCACCAAGATCTCAAACAAGCCAAGACAAATATTGAGTAAGCAAAACGACACTGTAGAAATGTCATCCCACGCGTATCACCCTCCGAACGGCTCGAAACCCAATCCATGTGGTGAAAATCGCCTCAATCCGAGCTCCAAAACTCAAAATATGCTAAAAATATGTGAAATATTTGAAATAGAGTACTTTATACATTTTGTCATAGATACCCTTCACGATCGCGATCACAAACCTCGCAATCGCGATTACAAAATTTTCCAGGACAACTTTTACCATATGCGATCGCGTCCATTTCCCCGTGATCGCGATGAACAAACTTCCATTAACCCTTCCCAAATTCTTCTCAAACAGCCTGTAGGGTATCAGCCATAACTTTTTGTACATAACACCAAAT